TGGCTCAGTGGATAGAGCGTCAGCCTACAGCTCAAGGGTCCCAGGTTCAATTCCGGTCAAGGGCATGTACGTTGGTTGTAAGCACATCCTTAGTGGGGAGTGTGCAGGAGGCAGCTGATCCATGTTTCTCTCTCATCAATGTTTCTAACTCTCTATCCCTCTCCCTTCCTCTCTGTAAAAAAATCAATAAAATATATTTTTAAAAAAACTCTCAATGAGTGTAAGTGACTGAATAATTGAGGAAACAAACTGAGTAGTTATTAAACAAATTCATTATTCAGTGAAAAGGGGAAGATTTTACAGAAAACAGTTGACAGCAATTACTGGAAAAAATAAAAGCACTCCACATTTATACCAGAAAATTGGAGCTACTTAATAAACAAGTTTCATACATATGTATGTATTATGTCTATGTGCATAGAATGGTATTCTCTAAATTCTGTTCTGCCGCTTCACTCAAAAATATAACTTGATGTGCATTATTTCATTCTTTTTTGTATCTGCACAATTTCCATGGTAATTATTCTCATATTAATTGAAATTTAAATTATTTCCACCAACTTGATATTTCAACATTAGATTGGTTACAAAATAGAACTAGATTAGGTTTTTGTCCTTAAGGCACTTTCAGATAAGTGAGGGATACACAGTAGAGAGTCAAGAGAGTGGAAGTGTTAGGTGGGTAAATTCAGGGTCTAAAGGACAATGTAGCATAGGCAACTAAGGCAGAATCAAGAGGTTAGCGAAGGTTTCTTTTCCATTATATATTTAATTAAAAAAACAAATCCAGCCAGCAGCAATAGCAGTCTTCCCAACAGCTGTGCTTCTGCCACAGGAAAAAGTTACCTGGCCTAAGCTGTACTGTTGTTGAAGTGTGGTTCCCCTTCGCCCCCCACCTTCCTGGACAACCTAGCAGATGCTCTATATAGATGCAGACCTCAGGTTTAAGCAAAGCAATCTTGAGAATCTAGCTGAGGTGGATCTTGAGCATACTGTCACATATTGAAAGTCTAAGCAGACCAATTCAGGGATTCATATTACAGTGGCCAACATGGACACTATGGGGACATTTGAAATGGCAGTGGTTATGACATAGCATTTCAGGTTCACAGCAATTCATAAGCATTATGCCCTGGATAACTGGATACCTCTGCCACAATAATCCACAATGTGTGCAGTATTTAGTTATGAGTTCAAGAAGGGAAGAATTCTTCAGAAGAGATAAGAAGTATAGAATTTGTGCTTCAGCCTTGGCCGGTTTGGCTCAGTGGATAGAGCATCAGCCTGCCAATCAAAGGGTCCCAGATTCAATTCCGGTCAGAGGCACGAGCCTGGGAGGCAGCCAATCAATGATTCCCTCTCATCATTGATGATTCTATCTCTCCCTTCTTCTCCCTTCCTCTCTGAAATCAATAAAAATATATTTAAAAAAAATTGTGCTTCAGGTTAAGTTAATTTTTTTGGATGTGGGCAATAGCTAATCTGAGTAGTTCGTGGAATGTTTAAAACTTATCCATGCCAAATTTCCAAATGTCAGGGAATGCATGATAGGAGGGATGGTAGAAGAGTTTACTTTCTGAACCAGATACAATCTAAGTAGAAATTAGCCCAGACTGTGTGTGCACCACTCACATCAGAACATGAGCGGACTACTCTCAGCTTAGCAAAGTGATGGAATGTGCTGTCTGCTCGCACTCTGAAGGGGCGAATCATCTCAGATAGAGGCCGCTTGAGTGCACACTATGCAGCCAAACCTTTGGATCTGGAGCAGATTTTGTCATGCTGGGAGGGATGTTTCAAGCCATACAGAGCATGCTAGAGAAGTGAGGGAGAGTAATACTCATCTCAAGCTCTTCTATGGATGAGTTTGAAACAGTAATTTAAAACATGTGCAGGAGGAGTAGCTGAATATAGCTCCTAAGAACACAAGACTGTGGAAGTGACTTCTAAAGGGAATATAGAAAACAATATTCTGGATATCAAAGTCTCATATAGTGCTCCTGAATGGTAAAACGCTGCCTTCTTTTTCCTCCTTTCACACACCTGGTTAGAGGCTCAGAGTGTCTATCCTCCAGAACGCATGTCATGTCTTCATTGTTAAAATTAACCCGAGCATCTTTTTCATTCCGCTTTAAAAATAGTTTTCACTTCACTATATTGCTATTATCTTCAATCACAGTATTTAAAAACTACTGTAATTAACTTAACTTCAAGGGTAGTTGAATGTTGTATTGATGCGCTGAAATTGTTCAGGACAAGGATGAAAGTGAAGGTTTGTATCTCTTGTGAACATTTAAGAAGATAGGGTCAATATCCTCTATCAATAGCTCCATAAAAATGGTCTTAGGGTAAGCAGAATAAGCAGAGGAGTGGACAATTAAACTTCTGCTCCAATTTTTGTGCCATCAGGAAGAAGGTTCCTCTGTGAGCCAATTGGCAAACATCTCTTTCTGAAATGCTGAGATTTCTGGGTAATGCACAATTTAAAATTACAAGAGCTTCTCAAGCATCATGAAAGCTGGAGCCTAACCTCCACTCCCCATCCCCAATTCACATCCGACTATCTACCTAGTTAGATAACCCTCCCCTCTCCACTTCCTGCCACCTACCACAAAAACACACAGGAAAGGGGAAAGGTATAGAAGGTAACATTTGCCAAGGGCAATATGGGGAGGTGGGGCAGACACTATGTGCAGCATCAACAGGGGAGGGAGATAACTTCCAGCTGGAGTGGCTTCAGAAGCTGGGTGATGAAGGTTAAAACCCTAAGAATGAGCAAGACCAGGATCTAGGAAGAAAAGGAGGGCAGTCAGAAGGAAGAAAATGTCGTGCAAGGACAAAGAGAAAGAAGAAGGTACACTGGGGCAGAGTGAATGAGAGTTCCTTTTGGATGGGGCAGAGAAGTGGAGGACTTGTGTTCTGAGGCTTAATTCTGATCAATGCTGAATTTCAGGAGGAGGAAAATAGGGCTTACTTTGTGTATGGTAGAGTTGCCATCCAGATCCTTTGGGCAGAAGAGTGACAAGTCGAAAATAAGGAAGAGTGAAGTTTAATTTGATGGTAACATGCAAGGTAAGTTGGAAGGGGAGAAGGAGGCACTGAAGGCAGATAGGCCAGAGAAAGGGCCCATCTGTGCACGAATTCATGTGCCGGGCCTCTAGTAGATATATAAATGGGAACATCCTCATAACAGAATACTACTCAGCAAAAGAAAATAATGAATTGTTGATACATGAAACAACTTAAATGAGTTTGAGGGCATTGCACTGAATGAAAGAAGCCTGTCTCTAAATGTGACATATAGTAGATTTTATTTATATGTCATTCTGAAAAAGACAAAACTATAGGAATTTGGAGTAGATCAGTGGTTGCCAAAATTCAGGCAAAAGATAAAATATGACTACAAAGGGGTAGCATAGGGAATTTTTTGGGGGGCGGTATTGAACTGTGTACCCACTGTGGTGGTGGTTACACAAACCTATATATTGTTAAGCTTCATGAAACTGTACACCCAAAAAAGGGTCAATTTTGCAATATGATAGTACTTTTTTGAGAAAAAAAAAAAGACCGGAGTTGCCCCCTATTAAATGTAATAGCTGAAAGAAAAGAAACATTTTGTCATGGTAGTTAATGACTACATCTTTATAATTCACTGGCTATAGTTACATTAAAAATTCTTCCTCAAATAATAGAAAATGTATCCTTCAACTGTGGAATAACTTTTTCATGCTTATATATGTTATAAAACATTAAGCCAGCAAAAAATTTATTTTTTCCAACCCTTCCTTTCCCTGTAGTAGACTGTTGTTGGCTGCCATATCCCACTGTGACCATTCTAAACAGGAAATCCCTCTCTGCCTCCTTCCCAAGATTCTGAAGATGACCTCACTGGCCAGATTGCCATTCCAGGCAACAATATACCTCCAAGTACCAGTGGATTCCGGGGTGTGGTGATATCAGTTTCCTCTTTTAACTTTTTTTTTTACAGTAATTATGTTCCTTCCACATTCTGATCATAACAATTATAGACGTTGGTAATTTTAATGGAACAAAGCGAATGATACCTGAATATCTAAAGAGTGCCATTGAGGGAAAAACAATTCCACCTACTAATAAACCTCACACCAAATAGTGGGATACTCTGAGTGTTTCATGAATGTGTGAGTTATTTTCCAACATATTTCTTTGTGGTCCAAAATCAAGCTCACTCTGCAGAAAGCAGGCTTTTCTATGGACTCATTTGATTAACAAGGCACTGGATCTACTAGAAAGGCTGTCTGAAGCCTCCATTTCAAATCCAAGTGGAACCACCTAGCACTCATTAATGAAAATGTCAGACATCTAGCACTTGATATTTCGAGTTCAGCCAGAAAGAGAAAAAGTCATGAATTACTTATATAAACTTATTAACTAGAGAAAACTGGGCCTCTTTGCACAGATTAATCTGGGACAGTGTTTAAAGGTGTTGTTTTGGTTAGATTTAAAAAAAATTTCTAACACATCAATATGTTGTGAAAACTGTCATTTGCAACTATTTTCCAAAGTGTTAAAAATTGATAATTTGCCCTCCATAATGTGTCAAATATTGCTTATGTAGGACCTCTTTTAAAAATATTTTAAAAGTATGCTGATTGTTTAAAACATTAAACAAAACACACACCTATTCAAGAAAACTAGTAAAAAAAAAATCCCACATCCTCACTCCTAGATTCTTTTCTAGTCGCCCCCTCACCTCGTCTACCACCTTCCCCCTTTTTAATGCTAAATAGGACTACAGGGGAAATGGTGGACTGTAGGGTATTGGGGGAGTAGGGGAGGGGAGCGATTTGGCTGTAGGAGAGTGAAAGCGATGATTCCCCAAAGAAGAAGGGGAAATGGTCCAATAAACCCAAGAGGTTGATCCTCCCTGGTAATCCGAGGAAGGCGAATAGAAACTGCGCGACAGTACCAGTTTTATTGTCTCTCATTGGCAAATACGAAAAAAGATTGACAGCATCAAGTGGAGGGAATACAGGGGGCGGGCTGCGGTATTAAAGGGAGGGGTAACTGAGGACTCCAGCTCATTGATGACGCGCGACCCTCACGTGACCAGGAGTCGACGTGTGCAGAAGTCCTTATAGTCCGGGGCCTGTTTCCCTGGAGCAGCTCCCTATTGCTGGAGAAGAAAAGTGCCCCGGATCCTTTCAGGTGAGTATAAAGGTGGGAGCTGCCTTGGGGACCTTAAAGTCTGGGAGTCAGAGAACAGAAGCCAAGCAAGGCCGGCACTGCTTTCTCAACACTATGGTTCCGCCAAACTCCCATTTTTGTGCAGGATTTTCGGGGCTGTTTGGTCGGGGGGTAAGGTGGGTGTGGAGAGGGAGGACTGAAGCCAATTAAGGGTCGCGCTCGAGAGAGACATAGAAACAATTTGGAAATAACTTGGGTCTCCCACTCCCTGCTTGCAGGGAACCGGTGGGCACCGGGAAGGGAGGGCGGGGTTGCCTGAAAAGGAGAGAGGATGAAGATATGGGGAAACTTTAGACGAACAAGGCCTAGAATCGTGAAGGGGACCTGTGATTCGGGTACTGGTCTGCTCACCAAGCACTCCTGTCGGTCTGCAGGACTTTTGGCGTTTTGAGCGCGACACAAATCGAGTGAGGGAAGAAGGAGAAAAATCCGCTGGCTCCCTGCAGGTCAGTGTAAAGGTGCAATGGCCTCAGATCCCTTGCAGTGGGGGTGGGAGTGTGGATGACACCAAAGCACATCTCACTGTCGCCAGAGCAGCCTCCCCCATCCGGATTAAGCCTGGAGGCCTTTGCAGAGCCTGCAGCGGAAATGAGGCGGGGGAGGGGTTAAGGTTGGAGAGGCATGGAAGGGGGAAGGGAGGCCAGAGTCTGGACCAGCGGGTCCCAGGTGAGAGGCTGGAGGTTGGGATGGTTTGGAATAGCCCGAAAGGCGGGAGTGTTGGAGACCAGTGGTGAGGGAGGAGTTAAATGCTTCGCGCAGCCTGCATTTCTGGGCCTGTAGCAGGGCCTGCTGGGAAATGGTGGGCTGGAGCTGGAGGAGAGAAGATGGAGCTAGGGGCAGAGGGAGAGGGAGAGGGAAGGGAGGTGGAGGAAGGGGTGGAGTCAGGGGAGTTCTGAGCCTAAGAAGCTAGCCTTCTCTAGTTGGAAAACTGACAATTCGGAATCTGAATGAAAAAAAGGCCAGTCTCTGCTCTGGGAATCCGCACTCTGGCTGCTGGTCTGTTTGCCTGGCATCTAGTTGTTTTGTTTCCTTGTTTTCTAGGATTAATTTATCCAAAAAGGAAATAGTAAAAAAATACTCAACATGCAACAGTCTTGTGAAGAAAATGAAGGAAAACCACAGTACATGCCACAGGCTGAAGAAGACCACCCTTCAGAAGATGTACCAAGGGAGGCAGAAGGAAATCCTCCGCCTTCCCAGGAAGGTGTCAGGCAGGAGGCAGAAGGAAACCTTAGAAGCGGGCTGACTCAACCTGTGCAGGCATTCAAAGAGGACACTCCCGTTAGGCATTTGGACCCTGAAGAAATGCTAAGAGGAGTAGATGAGATGGAAAGGCTTAGGGAAGAAATAAGAAGAGTAAGAAACAAGTTTGTGATGATGCATTGGAAGCAAAGACATTCACGCAGACGACCTTATCCTGTGTGCTTTAGGCCTTGAATTCTTTTTTTTAATCTGATAGTAAAACCTGGCGCCTGCTTTCTGTTAGCATATTCTGATGTATCTTTTACCTTCGTTTTACTTTTTTAAATTTTTTTTTATTGATTTCAGAGAGGAAGGGGGAGGTAGAGAGAGATAGAAACATTAGTGATGATAGAGAATCATTAATGGGCTGCCTCCTGCATGCCCCACACTGGGGATCAAGCCCACAACCCAGGCATGTGCCCTTGACCAGCATCAAACCCAGGACCCTTCACTCTGCAGGCTGACATTCTATCCACTCAGCCGAACTGG